AAAATAAAAAAAATAAAAATGATTGCTGGTTTAATCTTGAAATCTATTTTTTAAAACCCCAAACATTAAGATTGTAACATTTTTACTTTAATTTTGTGGTTTTTGAGGTACGGATTCCACCTTGTTTTTTAGAAAACTTTATCTTCATCTTCCTCATCACTCCACATGATTTCCACATCTGAGATATTTCCATCTGCTTAATGCTCAAGAACGTCAAGATCTGTTTATTCTGCATATGAAGGTGTTTCAGCAATAAATGAATACATCAATATCATTTTTTTATATATATAAAAAAGTTTAATCAGCAATACTGGAGATTTAAGTCCAGTAACAGATCTGAAACCAATTGTCCATCCTAAAGGACAGACATATTTGAAAAAATCCTGATCTAAAGCTTACAATGTTACAAAAGATTTTAAACTTTAGTTAGTAAGTGCAATACCTCTTTTTTATTATAATTTTTTTACATACAATCTATAAAATATTGGCAAACATATCAATAAATCTGAATAAAAACATTGTAAATGTGGCGTACGTCTGTGTATGGAGTGAAGTGACGCCATTCTGCTCTTCAGTAAAGTGTATTTATCAAATTACAATATCCCGAGTCTTATCGCCATCATCCACTCTCATGGACTGCAAGCTTTAAATTAGATGAAATGCTCAGGAACCATAAAAAATAGGCTGACCTGATGTCCATTGTAATGGACACATGGTCTGAAGGGGTTAAAATGTGCAATATTTACAGTAGGAGGATTACAAAACATCTTTATGGAGCACAATCTTTTTGGCCATTAAAGCATAGCCGGTAGTTGTGACCCATGCAATGCCTTTTTGGGTACTGTACCCAAAGTATGTACTGTAAGGCTGATTTTGTGGCTCAGGGGTCACATATAAAAGTAAACTCTTGTATCTCCACACAATGCAAAGCACAAAATGTAGTTGCAAAAACAAACTAACACAGATGAGAGTAAGCAGAGAAACATGTAGTGTGCTCGGGAAAATGTGGCAGTCGTTTTGCCACTAAAACGCAACATCGGTTTGCGGTCTATGCTTGAGTGTGAGTTACACGCTCCGATAAGACAACCAGGCAGTCCTCGTACCTCGGAGATAGGCAGATCCTAATCTCTAAATGGATTGTGGGTAAGTGAATTACTTTAGCTTCCACAGAGAGCGTGGCAAACTGAGTGAATAATGAACCACCCAGAAATCCTTGACGGGATTTAACACCTCCAAGCATCCTGTCGCACTTTTGGGAAGCGCCCTTGAAAAGGAGGCCATGCAATGCACACTCTGAAAGCATCTGTTTGGTGACGTTTGTGACTCCAACATAGAGGAAACAGGATGTCTGTGTGCGCTGGGTGGGTAGTAATCCACTTGGGTCTGCATGGTGTCGAGAGGTCAAATTGCTCTGTTTTAGACATTCCAGTGGGCACTATATTGCTTCCACTTCTGTGCGTGTATGCTACCCTGAAGGCCATGAGAAACAGCCTGACCACTAAGGCAGGTGGAAGGATTGACCGAGAAAGAGCTCAGCGCCAATTACTTGGTGACAACTGGCCAGGATTAGGCCTTGTTGTGTATGGTGACCGCTGACCTTTGAGTCCTAGCCTGGCGATGAAAACTTTTAACCTGCACTGACAAAGACAAGAGGGGCGGCTGCTCTTTAAAGAGCTCGCTGACCTGATTAAGCTGGGAAATAGGACGGCTTGCTTGAAAACCCAAATGCTGGGTTTCCATCTACATATTTTATGCACATTTTATGGAGATATTACATAAGGAAAAAAGGTGCATAAAAATTGCATACACTTACTCAAGGTGGATGTTTGTTTGTTATGCAAGAAGACGTGCATAAATTATAATAAAACATTTTTTCAAATCAATAATTGAAGTTTAAAGGAATAGCTCAGACAGAAATAAACATGAAAATGTCTGTTTCTCTTCCTCAAGTGGCTTCAAACCTTTATTAGTTTCTTTATTCTGTTAAATAATGATGTAATAATGAACTTCCATAGTAAGAAAAACAAATAGTCAATGGTTACAGGTTTTCAGCGTTCTTCAAAATATCTTATTTCTGTTCAACAGGTTTGGAACAGCTTTAAGGAAATGCATTTTGAGCATTAACATTTAATGTAGATGTGGCTATGGCCCAATCCCAATTCTATTTTTGTACCCCCCTACCCCGTCCCCTTCAGGGACAGGCTTCAAATTTTGCCCCTAAGAAATGGGAAACTACTAAAACACCCGCACACGACCTCATATGTCATTGCGAGCTCTTATGAGATTGAGGACGGCGACTGCTGTAGTTATTCCAGTTGAGTTTTTTTTTGGTATTTATCTTCAGGAAATCACTGAAGGCAATGATATCATGTCATCATAACAATATAATGTGGCAATAATGTTGTAACTGTACTTTGCATTTACACTGTGACCATTTTCATCTATGTAAACACACCATAAACAACATTAACATTATACCAGACACATTTTCAAAGCTGATTCCAAGCCAATAGACCTTTGTGACAAGTTATTTGAGTGTCATCGAGTGACAGATGTGAAAATATGTTGTGGTACTACTATTATACCAGTCAACATTGGGATGCGAAAATAAGGGATATGCCCATCATAATAAGAGATCCCCCCCAACCCCCTTTTTAAAAAACTCTCAAATGACTAAATATGTTAATTTGGAGCTGTTTCTTTGGAAATAAACAGTTAAATGGTCAGTATTGTTTTATTATTAATATTTACAAAAGAACAAATAAATAGTATACATTAGCAGCAAATACATTGGCAAACGGTTCATCATGCATATTCTGATTAACGAGCAACAAATAAATCTCTCATTTATTTAGTTTTTTGTTTGATTACAATTAATAACAGGTGTCACTTTAAAAATACACACATCTAATGTTATAATGAAAGCATTTGATTGCTTTCCTAACTTTTTATGCTCATTTAAAGTGAAATTAGTTGTGTTTGACTAAAACCCCCACCAAGATTGACATCTTTAGATATTATTATTATTAATTATGTGTGTATGTCTGTTTAAACACGCACCCAAAACCCATTTTCACTCCGCTTCAAATCGCGTGTACAGAATTCGTTTGGGAAACTATTCCCAACTAATCCAGTCTATTTATCACTGTGGAGTGCGTCAGCTGACAGTCACGCACCGCTATATGACTGTTTTGAGAATTGCATATGAAGAGAATTGTAATGAAAATGAAAGGGAATCGTCCCATTTTTATATTTATTTCAAAGTGTTTTCCTGCCTAAACAAAGTGAAAGCACAGAACACTTACATTTAAGAGCAAGGGGCGGCCCCTGGTGGTTTAGGGAGGCTCGGCTCTTTAATGTTTATTTGCCACCCTTCTGAGAAAGACTTAAAATACGGGAGAAATACAGTAACATACCTTTACGGGATGATAGCAGGATAGAACTGTAAAATACGGGAGAATCCCGGGAAAAACAGGAGGGTTGACAGGTATGACTACTATACAGTTATTAATATGTATTATGAATAGCTAAATTTAGCATTGTTTCAATCTTATTTTTTAATCATGACGGCAAATCATGAACGTCGTTTTAACTGTATTAAACTAGAAGCTTTTTGTTGTAAAAATTCGTAATAATGACAAAAATAGTAATTTGTGCATCTTCTGACTTCCATGTGCAGCCATGCTGCCGTTGTAGCTGCTGTATTTTGGGAAATTTTCTTACTCCTTCGTTTCGAGTGTGGTTTTGAAAAATATGAGTTTGAAGGGCTCTCTAGCCTTTCCCCTTAGCCCTACGCCTTCAAGCTAAAGATAATTATACACACAGCTACTCTCACATGAGAGGAACGGCTAAGGGGTAGAATTGGGATTGGGCTAATACATAAACTTACATTTATATCTTTGATAGACGCAACCAAAAGCAAATTATATTGCATCAAAATGCACATGTACTGTACATTTGATCAGTTCTTAAACCTATGACCAGTGCTTAATTTGAGCCACATCTTGCCTTATCCTGTTCCGGAAAATGTCAGATATTCGTGTTTTGTGTTCCAGGATTTATTTTAATGGATCCGGCATGAACTTGTGCGTGGTGAATACCTATGTGCACGCATGTATGTGTGTGTGAATGTGTGGGAGAAAGAGAAAATGAGCACAAAGGCTGTGTGGATGATGGCCCTCAACAATCTTTTCTGCCGATCATCTTTCTTATGTTTACAATCACTTTCATTGGGTGGTGGTTATTGTTTCATGTAGAATGAGCTGCGAAAATAAATAATAGCATAGTGGCCTAAATAATATTTGTATTTTCAAAAAGGCAAAGATGCAGTCTAATATCTAAATCTAATAATAAGCCTGATCAAAAGAGATGTTGAGATGATGAAACTGTGCGAATGGATGAGGATGGTAAGCAAAGCGATCTCAAGTCAGCCAGAAAACATGACAGAAAAGGTAACTGTGGGCTCTTGAATATTAGACAGATTGAATCCTTTAATTATTATTATTTTTTTTACTTGGCACATAATAGTGAAATGAACTGAATAGAGATTGTACGTTTTATGTTTGTAGCTACATGATTTTAACCATGACTGACCTATAATGTTAAATATGGCACAAAAAATTCAAATGTGATGTTCTTTTTTGAGCTATCACCGTTATCATCATGTTCCGGGAAAACTGAAATGGTTTGATGGACGCTGGTCACGGTAACTTTTATTTCCTGGTTTTGTTCCCGGAATTATTCATTTACAAATTAAGCACTCCCTATGACCATACGCTACCCACTTACTTATTTGTTTGAGACAAAAAGGAAGATTTACATAAAAGGGATTTATATCATTTGATGATTTACATCATGCCTATTTAGGATGTGGTGCAATACTGCTAGACTGTCCACCATGCAAAATCAAAGCCTTAGAAATCACTGCTAATTAAAGATTAGATAGTGGGATTTGCATGGAAATGAAGAATAATCATTTGTAGAAGATACAATTGGCTTACCTTATCAGAGTAGACGAAGAAAAGAATGAGCAAAATCAGCTCAGCCAGCAGAATAATCAGCAAGACAATGAAGAACTGTAAAAAGAAAATACACAAAGAAAGGAAGTGAGCGATACGATTGAGAAAAAAAAAGAAAAACAGGGAAAGACCTGTCTGAATGAATCATCTCAGCTTTCCACACTCGCTCTCTCCCTCTCATTCTGTTTCACTTCTTCAGCTAAATATTTACACAGCCTTCCACACAGCATGCGCCTGTCAGCCAGTAAACATTATTTCGCTGAGTGCTCGATACATTTTCCAGTCATCTCCTGATGACCGCTCCTGTCAAATCCCATCTGAGACGCAGATTCGGGCCATCTGAAAAACTTTAAGACACTTGTTTATTGAACCTCCACATTGACAGGTTCGCAAAACAAGTTCCCTTCCGCCATTAAAGGAAGGCGAGAATGATTGTGTTGTCTACGTGTGGCCTCGCCAAGCGCTGAATGACAATGTGTGTATATGTCTGCTCTGCCATGACTTTACTCACTGCTCTGGGCCATATGGGATACGTAAATTGGGGCAAAGTTGAAGGAATGGATGTGAAGACTGCAAAAGCTTTGATGGTTCTTCCTTCCTAGACCTCTCAGGGAAGAAAGTGCTACGCCACATCCAGAAACACAGGCCTGACTGCTTAGATCTCAAATCCAGTGACGTGAAAACTCCTCTCTGATGTCTCACTCTCCCTCAGACTTTGGGACAACGCGTATATACAGCGCAGATAGTGAAATCTAAAGGTCAAGCAATTCAAATTTACTCCATCCCATCTAACAGGCATTTAGAGAACCGTATGAACCGAAGACTGGCATTAAAAAGTAATGATACAGGGGTATGGTGATGATGATTCCAGGTTTGACTGGATTATGAATTCTCCAAACGTCACTTCATATACTTGAACTGAACTAAATGTGACTTGTGTTAATTGTACTAAATAAATTGAACAAAATGATGCTTGTTTGGAATCCTATGTCAAGCCCACAAGTGCATATGCCAGAACAAAGCAGAATGACATTGAGGCAGATGTATTATTCACTCTTGTAAATGGCAGAAAAGCACAGCGAGCGACAACCTTTTTCAATTAGACTGTGTCTAACACCATTAGCCGAATGATTGGTGGTGGTGGTGGAGGGAGGGATTGAGAATGAGGGGGAAATCAAAGAGAAAGAACAGTCAAAAAGGGGGGAAAATTATAAAAGCATGTGGTTTAACTCTTGTATTGAAACCAAAACCCCTGAGTCCAATGAGGAGACCTATTTTGCAATGCTGATAATTAGCAAAGCTCTCTGGTCACAGTTTACTTTAAGCCTGTATGTATAATGCATTAAAAAAGTTATTCATAAGGCATAATTCAGTCCATCCTGACGGGGCTTATTTTGAGATGGACTCGCCGGCTGTACATTATCCCACTTCTTACACATCTGCTCACTGTATAAATAAAGGACATGAAATGTTGATTCTAAAGGCAAAAATAATTGATTTATGCGAGGAGATGAATAAAAAGGATGTAAAATGAGCACAATGATGTAGGAAAACTCGTAGTCACAAAAAGTGACTGTGAAAATGGTTGATTATACAATTTAGCACCATACTTTTTTCAATAAGGAGAGTACTGTGATGATGATGACTGCTTTTATTATATACGGCTGTCATTGTGTTATTTTATTCACACAAACATACAACTGAACGCAAGATGTTTAATAGGCCATAATTTGCTTTTTATCAAGACACAACTTTCAGGTGTAGTAAGAATGAGTCTGTAAAGTTTCAAATCCTAATAGATTATTTATTAAACAAAGCAGTAAATATGTTTTTTTTTGTTGAATAATAATAATAATAATAATAATAATAATAATGTTATTAAATGATAATAATAATAATAATAATAATGTGATTCAAAAATAATAACAATAATAATAATAATAATAATAATAATAATAATAATAATCATAATCATAATCATAATCATAATCATAATCATAATAATAAATTATATTAATAATAATGATAATGATAATGGTAATAATAATAATAATAATAATAATAATAATAATAATAATAATAATAATAATAATAATAATAATAATACTTATAATAATAATATATTTTTTTTTAATGTGCAAGTCTCTTTACAAACAAATGAGTTACTGCTAGAAGAGTCTTTACAGCTCTTGTTTCAGTAGCTCCATTAAAAAACAAAAACTGTAAATTTAAATTGCTGACATATGGATTTCTCAGTGGAAATACACATAGTGCACAAACAGAAACTTCAGGTGACATTCAACCAAGTTTTCTTTTGCCTAAACTGTCAAATACAAACAAAACAAAAATCCACACATTGTTAGTTATGTTTGGTAATAGTTGGGTCTCCATCACCCTGTGTTAATGTACATTCTGAACTGTCGCATGAGAAATGAGTAATGCAAACAAATTGTTCAATGAAAACCCGTTAATTTGTAAAAAAAAAAAAGAAAAAAAAAAGAAGATGTTTTTACATTCGCTTAAAGTGGTTTTGGACTTGTGTGAAAAGGGGTTTGTGAAATTGAAATAGAAAAGAATTACCTAAATCAGTGGTCCCCAACCCCTGGGCCATGGACTGGTAATGGTCCGTAGATCAATTATTAATTATTTCAGTTTTATTCATTATCTGAGACTGAACGATCGATTATTTTGAAAAATGTTTGATTTAAAAAAAAATTACCGTATTCTCTCAGTTACATCTCTGTCACGTAAGCGTTAAAATTTAACCAATAAGCTAGCAAAATGAATAAGAAACAGAGATCTTTGGAAAGTTTCTTTGCAAAGGGAAAAAGGCCCAGTGAAGGACCAACAAATGGCCAAGAAACAGATCTGCAACCCATTTGTCAAGAAATCAGGTGAATTTAACATATTTCATTCATTCATTTATTTTCTTGTCGGCTTAGTCCCTTTATTAATCTGGGGTCACCACAACGGAATGAACCGCCAACTTATCCAGCAAGTTTTTACGCAGCGGATGCCCTTCCAGCCGCAACCCATCTCTGGGTAACATCCACACACACATTCACACACACACTCATACACTACGGACAATTTAGCCAACCCAATTCACTTGTACCTCATGTCTTTGGACTGTGGGGGAAACCGGAGCACCCAGAGGAAACCCACGCGAACGCAGGGAGAACATGCAAACTCCACACAGAAACGCCAACTGAGCCGAAGTTCGAACCAGCGACCTTCTTGTTGTGAGGCGACAAATTTAACATATCTAAGCAAGAAAAGATCAACTGCTGGAGATCGCAAATGACGGCAGGGGCCGTTCACAAACTGTATCGCGTCTTTTCTGCACACAAGTTCGTTATTTCCTATGGGTGCACCCACTTGAAAACCTCAAAACCTTTTAGAATGCCACAAGCGCAACGCGAGTCATGTGATGAGAACTGAATGATCAGCTTTATACTTTGTATGGAATATACACATTTTAATAAACTAATTATCTTAGACAAACACAGAACACACAGTGCTTTTTAATTTTCTTCATAAATAAAGCTTGTATCAGAGTTGCATCAAAGTTTCTCAGCTTGTCGTCCTCTGAGAAAATGGTTGAAGGTCGCCTATCAATCTACGTATTGTACTCACTCCCCCCTCCACCGAGCCGCAGAAAAATGGTCAACTGTTGACCGGTCCGTGGTGATTAAAATGTTGAAGACCACTGACCTAAATAAACTATAATATAGCAAACATTACATCCATGTGACTACTCAGCTGTTTCCATTATGCTTGCCTTGCTTAATGTCGATGACCAATACTACGGTCAGCTGCTATGACAGTTTGATAGAAATGCACCTAATTCACATTTGGATGTTTCTTTGTCTTTTGTTTGTTTTGTCTTGCAAACTTTGAAAAAAAAATCAGTATATATCAGTAAATATTAGACCTCTGAAACTAGATCTACTAAGGAAACTCAACTAGTCCTCACCCCATTAAGTCAAAATTATAAACCTTTTAAATATTGTGATGTGACCTTTCATGCATAAACAGAGGCTAAAGGACCAGTAAAAAGCACATGACCCCTTCAACTATAGTTTGACTATTTGTATGCTGCTATATACAGTTTCATTCAGTTCTATTAGTTTGTCTTCACACTTCAGGAATGTAAACGTGTGTAGGAGTGGCAAAACTTACGCTCAGAAGCAGGCACTTGTTTTCCTTGATGGCGCCCAGGCAACCGAGGAAGCCCGTCACCATGACGATGGCGCCTATGGCGATGACCATGTTGGCAGCGGAGAGAGAGGGGAAGGAGGGGGAGAAGGTGGCGAAGCTGCCTTGAGAAACAGACAGCCAGATTCCAACTCCCAGCAGCCCACAGCCACACAACTGCAGACAGAAAGAACAGATTATCAGATACTGATGCGTTCTGGAACATCTGTACAACTACATTCAATATGTGCCACAGATACCAGATGGACAATAACCCAACAAATGTACTGACACTACTTTACCCAAGTACAATTTTTGAGTATCTATACTTTATCCGAGTATTTTTAGGAAACATTTACTTCACTACAATTCATAACAAATTGTTGTACTTTTGAACTTCACTACATTTTTTAAAGTATTTTATTTATCAACCAGTAAAATGGTCAGGAGGAGCAGAATCTTTTCAGTTAATCTGCTGAATCAGTTCACATTCCAGAATGAATGTTTTAATTTGTGAATTGAACATATCTGATGCAACTGTTCAGGAGTCAATAACTCACTGATTCAAATGAGTCACTCCTAGCGAGCCAATTACTTATGATTCAAATGATCCAGATAGAGCAAAGTCTCCGGTTAAGGAATTACTGATTCAAATGAGCCGCTCATAGTGAGCCAATTACTTATGATTCAAATGATTCACATAGAGCAAGGTATCCAGTTAATGATTCACTGATTCAAATGAGCCACTCATATTGAGTCTATTACTTACTGATTCAATTGAGCCACACAGAGCAAAATCTCCAGTTAGCGACTCATTGATTCAAATGAGCCACTCATAGTGAGTCAATTATTACTTATTGATTCAAATGAACCACTTGGAGCAAAGTCTCCAGTTAACGACTCACTGATTCAAATGAGCCACACATTCATTCATTCATTTATTTTCTTTTTGGATTAGTCCCTTTATTAATCTGGGGTCGCCACAGAGGAATGAACTGCCAACTTATCCAGCATATGCTTTACCCAGCGGATACCCTTCTAGCTGCAACCCATCACTGGGGAACATCCATACACACTCATTCACACACATACACCACAGATAATTTGGCTTACCCATTTCACCTATAGCACATGTCTTTAGACTTGTGGGGGAAAACAGAGCACCTGGAGGAGATCCAAGCGAACACAGCAAGAACATGCAAACTCAGACAGAAATCCCAGTTGACCCAGCCAAGGCTCAAACCAGAAACCTTCTTGCTTTGAGGCCATTGTGCTACCCACTGTGATACAGTGAAGACCATGTGCCACTCATTGCAATTCAAATGATCCACACAAAGCAAAGTCTCAAGTTAACAACTCACTGATTCAATTGAGCCACACAGAACAAAGTCTCCAGTTAACAACTCACTGATTCAAATGAGCCACTCATAGTAAGCCTATTACTTACTGATTCAAACGATCCACATAGAGCAAGGTCTGCGGTTAACGACTCACTGATTCAAGTGATTCACTCAGAGTGAGTCCACAGTTAGGGATTCACTGATTTTTAAACTGATTTAACAAAATGTAAGTTGCTAATGCTGAACTTAAGGATTTGTTATGGTAAGTGAAAATAATATATTGAGGCCATGAGTGTAAAGTAAATCTACTGTAAAAGGTCAATCTGTTTAAACCCACTATGTAAAATGCTTGAATGTGGAAATGTCTATACTGCATTTGTATATTACCAATTGAATTTAACAACTAAAGAATATTAAAATGACACAAATAATGCCTGTGTATTTGCTCCACTACTTTAGGACATAATAGATATAAAAATAGTATGTTTGGAGTTTTCTTAAAATATAGCGTACAGATTTTAAAATATATTTCATATCTACATTTGACAGAGTACATTTACAAACAATGTTTGTACACTGGAATCAATTATCAGTATAGCTATCAGTGCATGACAAGTTTTATTAACACATAAATATAATATAATCTTGTTTTCTTGCAAGATAGTTAATGCATTATCAATAATTATTACTTAAGTATAAAAGTTGTTACTTAAATTACATTAAATAGGAGTATTTATGTTGGGAAAAAAAAGTATTATTTTTGTCTCGTTTTTTATTGAACCATTCTATTTGTATTGCTTAAAGGTGATATATTAACTTTTTCTCTTGAGTGTGATATGCTGGGTTGTTTTAGATCTGCAGCTAAACTTCCTGTGAGCAGAGATGGGTTAAAAAATGAACAAAAAGTGCAGTTGTGAAGTCTTTTAATGTTGTGCAGAGAATTCGTAAAAAAAGAGGATGTATGTATGGGTGCGGCCAATGGAGGACTGGAGAACGATTGACAAGTGACAAGTTCCACTAAACTCCTCCTAATAATATCAGCTGCGTATAAAAGCTCTAGTCAGAAAATTTAAATTGTTGCATAGCTCCTGAATGCAATTTTTGCATTGCATTGAGGATACCAGAATTCTGTGAATCAAATTATTTATTTGTATCCAATAAATTACTAAGATTTTTGACATTAAAGAAAACCCTCTCCTGACCTTTTTATTAAACACGCATGGAATTGTTTAAATGTTTCAACACTTAATGTTGATTTGCCCATAGACAAATATTACTAGAAATGTAGCATTGCTATCCTGAGCTCAAATTAAGTTTGGAGCATCATTTAAGCTGAATAGCAAAAAATGTAATACAACAGCAGATTATTGCAGTGCATGCTGAAACTTCAACAAGCAATAATTTGCCATGCCTACAGGCTCCCCCAGGGGGCACACACCACCTGCAAACTTTGCCCCCTGTGGGCCACACCATCATCTTGATAAAACAAGGCTGTCCATTGACATTTACGTACACCCACAAGAGTCCAGCTGTGAATATGTAATGTTTACAGGAGCTTCTGATTGACAACGCTTAGAGGAGAGCCTGTTTTCCCCATCAATCTGTGATAAGGCCACAAAGTGATGCCCGCAGAGATGACGAGGACGGAGAGGCTGACATTTCCTCCGCTCTTATTGAAATATCCAAAGCAATCTCCTTGTGAATAAGAAATCACACCCACCACTGATAAACAGACAGACGCCGCACAGCGAATCAAAAAGCTTCATAAGTGTGAACGCCGTTGTCGCTGAAACGCTAACATGTTCATCGGAGATGAAAGGGAACCAGACTGATCTTTTTTTTTTTTTCAGATGATGTAAATAATTGATCGCTTTTACATATGCTTTCATTTGCTTTCAAGCACAGACAAGACAAGTTAACTGAAGTGCTCGACAATGCCTTCGAGATCTAAACTCGAGGGTTGCAAGGGATTTGAGGAAGAAATCAAATAAAATGAATTTTGTCAATCTTGGTGGTCTCATATTAGTTCAGAGGATCAACTTTTACGTTAAAAAAATCATAAAAATGTAATGTATATATTTTAAAGTCACTGTGTACGTCTATTTAACGTTATCCTATCAGGATTATTTCATCAGTGGTAAATAAGTAAATGAATAAATAAATAAATGAATAAATGAATAAATGAAAAAATAAATAAATAAATAAATGAATAAATAAATAAATAAATAAATAAATAAATAAGTGGATTGATTCAATAAGTCATTGTCCTCTGCTATAATCTACATGGCGGTTATACTTCAAAATGTACATGCAAAATAATCATTAAAAATATTTTAACAAATTTAGTAGATGCTTGGTAAAAAAGAAAAAAAAAATGTATTTGCTTTTTTTTGACAAGACAAGTTAACTGAAGTGCCCGACAATGCCTTCGAGATCGAAACTTGAGGGTTGCAAGGGATTTGGGGAAGAAATCAAATAAAATGAATTCTGTCAATCTTGGTGGTCTCATATTAGTTCAGAGGAACAACTTTTACTTTAAAAAAGTCATAAACATTTTTAAAGAGTTAAAATTTAACTTTAAAATTTTAAAATTAAAGAGCCCCTATTATGGTTTTTTGAAAATGAACTTCTCTGCAGTGTGTAGCACAGCACTAACTGAATGAAAACATCCAGCTGAGGTTTAAATCTGAAGTGCACTGTGATTAAAACTATTGATTCTTTAACAAAATAGTCGACTCAGAGTCGAACAAATGAATCGTGTTAGGTTCGGATCTTTTGCTTGAACATGTCAACGTTGATATGGTACATCACCATGGTTCTGGTAAAACGTGAACGTGTCTATCCCTTCAGACACTAGCAGAGTGCGGGGGATCACAAGACTGATCAAGCTGATGATCACTGACAGATGGAGACTCAGCTGCTGGGAATAAAGGCTTAAAGTTCATTTTGACAACATTACCACAGTATAGACAACCTAGTGCTGTGTTTGTTCCTGTCATTTTTCTGATTTTTGATACAGTAACCTACGCTGCAATGCAGGATTCGCCAGCCATTTGATATTAAAGGAAGAAGCAGCAGAGACTATTAGTATGGGAATTTGTTAGACTTTGACAAGGACTTTGTCAGTAACTGTTACTATTCATATGGTCCAGTTTCTTCTTCTGAACTCGCGATTCTCTGTTATTTGACTTTGCTATGGCCACCATCAGCTGTTGCTTACATTTTCACAATTTTCAAAATAGCTCAACTTTTGCCACTGTCTGAATAATACAGAATGTGTCTTGTTGTTATTACTTGGGGTTAGGTTTAAGAGAAGAGCAATATGCTAGTGTTTAACTGCATTGCTTTATTGCATTCCTGCATTGATATCTTGCATACTCTGCATGCTACTTCATAGCCGTGGTGGGCGTTTCTCTCTGTTTTGCACTGAACCCAGTCAGCCAATCATAACAGACTGGGTCATCACATCAATCAGCTCAGATTAGCTTCGCGCTTAAGGTGGGGTTTGGGAACAAATGAATCTCTAAACTAATTATATGGGAGTCATTGGGATAATTAGCTAAAAATAAATGCATATTATAAGACAATGAAAGTGTTTTTTGACCTTGCATGCATATCAGCCTGTTGTTGGAGACCCCCCCAAACCAAAATATGACCTTATAATGCAAAAAAGGGGCTCTTAAAGTGGCGCATATGTTTCTCTTAGCTAGAAGAAGAAAGAGAGCTAGTGAGTAAATTACAGTAAGAGCTAAGTGATATGACACAGTGCATAAATGTGCATTAAACCCTTATACTCGGCATACACTTTCATTTGCTTTCAAGCATAGACTAGAATGTTAACTGAACTCCTCGACA